TGTGCATGCGCATACACTCGGGCACTATAATCCTGTCCTGCGCAGATATCTAGTCTCCATTGAGACTGGCCACCATGACTGACCGATTTGGTCTAGAGGACGTTATAAAAAAAACAGAGGCGAAAAATAGACTGCCGACAGAAGTGAAATAGAATAGAACAGAATAATTTGTTTTCAATATAGATTACTACATAATACTTATTGAAAGTCATTTTTTTAATTAACCACGGGTTCGGAAAACACCTCTGTCCTGAGAAGAACCAGCAAGAATCCCAGTGCTACTTTTTTTAAACATATTTTACTTTACAGTAATTTTATTTCTACAAATTTTCAATGAATTTTAATGGAACCAGCATGGTGGCGATCACCTCATTCCCAGGGGTCCTTTTTCATTTATGTATTTTTTGCTATTATAATAACCCTTTTTGTACAATTTTTTTTTTATAAAACATTTAAACATGTTAATTGACGAATTTTGTAGATTTTCCGGGATTTTGTTGTAAAAGCGTATACATTGCCCTATAAATGAATTACTAATTCTGTGAAATCCAGTACCTGGTATTACAAGCTTATATTTGTTTCTACTATTTAAAGCATGAACATTTTTATTCTTATCAAAGCTATTTATATTTTATGTACATACTTTACATTTTCATAAATATATTGCCATGCCAAAGTTAATATGTTTATTTCTTTAAATTTTTCTCTAAGGGACTTATTATAACTTAAGTTATAAGTTGCCCGTACGGCTTTTTTGCAAAACAAATATGGCTTCTATGTCAGTCGTATTACCCCGTAGCAAAATTCCAGCAAAGATATCACGCTATGAAAGTAACTAAAATAAACTAATCTAGCTGTCTCAACCAAAGACGTCTAATCTTTCTTATTCAAAAGCTTTTAATAATAATAATTATCACCTTATCTGTCGAAACAAAATGACGGCAACAAATCAAATTTCGTTAATTTTCGACTTGGTTTTCAGTTACTGTAAACCATTAAGAAATGTAACAATAAATTCTGAAAATTTACGTCACAGCATCCATTTAACAGCACTGCAGTAAGTTTTAACAACTTTCGAAAGCGTGTTTAAGATGAAAGCAAATAAAAAGTAGCGAACGAATGCAAAGAAGAGGTTTGATAAAAAAAAAATGAAAAATTACCGAAGTTGTAACATAAATCAAAAGTGTAAAAAGAGATACGCGTGAGGGTTTCTGAATAGCTGTATTTACACATAAGTGTGGATAAATATATTTTATATTTTTTGCGCTATTTGTTGTCAGAATTGCTCCTTTTTATTTGTTGTTGAATTAGAAATACAAAGAAGAAAGTAGCATTTAAAACATTATATATCATACATAAATATGGTAGAGCCATGTTGCAGCTAAATCAATTGTACAGTTGTTGTACGAATGGGTCGGCTCCACCGGGGAAGGGCCACGCTCTCACAGAATACCAAGATAAAATAGCAGCTTAATGCTGCTGTGTTTCGTACAGTGATTGTAGAGAACCAGAGAGAGACCCTTTTAACTAGAAAAGAGGCATCTGCATTTTGATTCAATAACGAGAATAGATGTAAATGTATATGGGCCACAGCAACCACTTACCATCAGGTGGACTGTGTGCACGCTTGTGACCCTTATGCTATAAAAATAAATCATTATTATTTCAGATACGAAATTAAATAAATTTAAACATGACTTTACTTCGACACATGCAAATTTGTTGCACAAATCAGTCACAATTAACTACACAAATGATCAGTTTACTTTTTCAGAGTCTAAAAATTTGACTATTTGCATTCACAATATAGTGGAATATTTTTCCTTTTTTATAGAAGAGGGCAAACGAGCATGCGGCTCACCTGATGGTAAATGTCGACCACCGCCCATGAATAACTGCAACACCAGAGAAATTGCTAGTATGTATATTAACGTGGTAGAGCCATGCTGCAGCTATATTAGTAATATAGTTGTAGCACGAATGGGTCGGCTCGACCGGGGAAGGACCACGCTCTCACAGAATACCAGCGTAAAATAGCAGCTTAACGCTGCTGTATTTCGTATGGTGAGTGTAGAGAACCGGAGATCCTTTTTACTGGACAAGAGGCATTCCATCTTAGTCCTCACGGGTGACAACGTATCTGCATTTTGATTCTTTATTGAGGATAGATGTAGATGTCTATGGGTCACAGTAACCACTAACCATCAGGTGGAATGTGTGCTCGTTTGTCACCCGATTCCATAAAGAATGTTGACGGGATTTTAAAAAGTAACAAGCTCTTTTCTTAAAGGTCTATTAGTTGTATCGGTCCGGAATAATCGCCGGTGGTAGACGACTCCATGAAGAACTCGTGCGGGGAATTAAACTCGTAGTAAATCGAATTATGTGTGAACATTATCGTGTAATTATTGTCATTGAGTAATAATTCTTCCACAAGATGAAGTTATCTGAACTTCTTTAAGAGGCAAGGCTTGAATAGTTAAAAGTGAAGTAAGTTCTCTCATTTAAAATAGTATTATATTCTCATTTAAAATACTATACTCCTTTAAAATAGTATTATATAATATACCTAGTCAGGTCATAAGTATTGTCACACAGTAAAACCTTTTCTTTTAGATTGCTGGCCACAAAAAGTTTATTGAATTCGAATTTCGAATTGATCATGAAAATAAAACTGTATACTTTTTAGAATTTTACTCATTTTTAAATATGGAGTGGACGCTTAAAGAAGACCGTGTTGCAGTTATTGCTTGCATCGTTGCGGTTACGCGCCAATTCAAATTATTGACATACTGAAAAATTTGTATATAACCAAAAGATTCGTTTATCGTACCATAAAACGATACAATGAAGACTCTAGTGTAGATGACAGGTCAAGAAGTGATCGCCCTCGGTCTGTTAGGACTCCAGCAGTGATAAAAGCTGTGAAAGCGCGAGTTCAAAGAAATCCCAAACGTAAGCAGGAACTGTTAACCCTTCAGATGGGGTTAAGCAGAACCACGGTGAAAAGGGTGTTAAATGAAGACTTAGGGCTTCGGGCATATCAAATAAAAACAGGACATCGTTTGAATGCTCGTCTAATGGACCTGAGACTGAAGAGATGCCGCGCTTTGTTAAAGCGGTACGCGGGAAAAAATATCGGGAAATTCTTTTTTCGGATAAAAAAATTTTTACCGTAGAAGAGAGCTACAACAAACAAAATGATAAGGTGTACGCACACAGTAGTGAAGAAGCGCGCAACCGTATTCCGCGTGTCCAACGAGGTCATTTTCCATCCTCGCTCATGGTATGGTTGGGAGTTTCTTATTGGGGCTTAACAGAGGTACATTTTTGTGAGAAAGGTGTAAAAACGAATGCAGTTGTGTATCAAAATACCTTGTGGAACCTGTTTCTCATAGCATGTTCAATAACAGGCACTGGGTATTCCAACAAGATTCGGCGCCAGCTCATAGAGCGTAGAGCACACAAGACTGGCTGGCGGCGCGTGAAATCGACTTAATCCGGCACGAAGACTGGCCCTCCTCCAGTCCAGATTTGAATCCATAGTGTAGTCCTTTCGTCCGTAGCAATCCCTTTCCTCCAAGTGTTGCCATATCTTGTAATCTAACATTACAAGATATGGCAACACTTGGAGGAAAAGGCGTGCTCAAAGCCTCATCCCAATTTGGAGTCACTCAAGACATCCTTGATTAAGTCAGCCGCCGATATTGACATGGACCTCGGTCGTGCTGCGATAGACGACTGGCCGCGCAGATTGAAGGCCTGTATTCAAAATCACAGAGGTCATTTTGAATAAACTTTAGTGCCATAAGAATCTATGTTTTGTTAAGTTCATTTTGGTATATAAATGGTTACATAATGAATAAACTTATTTCAATTATTTTATATTAAACATGTGACAGAATTTATGACCCAACTAGGTAATGGTTGCTTAAAAAGTTAATTGATTCGATCTCACCGGCAGGTTCAATTCCAGACGCCACCAATGAAATTGCTATTGTAGGAGCAGCGCTGCGGAATAGTTGCTCCTACTTTAACTTTATAAATAAATACTTATGTATATTTAGTCTATCTGTCGACAGCTGCAAATGTAACTGTGTTATGGAAGCTTAGACAAATTATTTGCAGTAATAATTTCCGCTGCAGAATTGGATCGCGTTTTGCAAAAATGTTTCAAACCACAAAAAATATAGTTATTCAGATTTGAAAGATAAAATGTATTTTTAATATGGCAGAAGCCTTAGTATATAATGTTATGTATATCGTTTTAATGAAAATTTAATGAATAATTTAGGGTTACTTGTTCTTTTTCAAAATTCTTTCTTACTTGGAAATAAACTGAAAAACGCCTCTGGAGTTTGACTACTTTTTAGGTATTTTGTGGAGGCGTTTTACAATATAAATTGCATAATATAGAAGAACACCTAACATTTAAAGCACACACATCTAAAACTTAACACTTAAAAGAAAAATAAAGTTCAGTTTTATAAAAATTTATTGGGCACCGCAGACCTTTGTTCATTGGGAATTCTTTAATAATACAATTCTGTATTCATAAGCCACATTTTGTTGTTTCTTTTGTCTAAATCTATTTATATAAATATGCTTAAAAATAACGGATCTAATAAATAAATTATTGATTAACGATCTTATTCAAAAATATGATAGGTTAAAAATATTAAAATTATACAGTAATAAAATTATTCAATGTTATAAACAGTTAAATAATTTTAACACTCATGAATAAAATTGATGCTGCGATAGAATGTGGAAGAATTGGTTACTTAATTTATGATTGCTATTAGATGAAATACGTTTTTATAACTTTAATGAATAAGACCGTATTTTCTGTATTGTTTGAATGACATTTTTTGTTATGTATTTCACACACTTCACATTATTGTTTAAATCATTCGTTTAACATTATTAGTGAAACTACATGTTTAAATAAATAAGTCGACTAGACGAGGCAATCGATGTATTAAGTATTGAAATAAATTTTAAAGACTAGTCGACAATTCAGTGTTTCTTAAATCAGGCGCGTTGAGTGTGAAATGCCTGTTACACGTGCAATTGTTTTGGCCCCCGAGTTGATCTCTTGCAATACATACGTTAGGGGATCGAAATTTTTCATCATTGTCATCCTTTTTCTTAAATCTAGGTATAGTATGGATTGTATATATTGGTCCTATTTCTTTAGTTTTATCACTATCTAACCCATTCACATCTTTGGTTAGAAATTGTGGTGATCTTTGGTACAAATTGGGGGTCAGCCAATCCTCCTCGTACGGTTTCCCTTTGCTAGACTTTAAGTTTAAGTAATTCTTAGATTCGGAGTTAGCTTCATTTTCTTCGCTAAGTTCATGGGAATATCTTTGAGACATCCATAAATATCGAGCCATTGGTTCCTCTGGTCCCCAGAGACGTGAAGGCTGGAATGCCGAAGCTATTTTCTAAAACAAGTGGTAAAATTAAAAATTTTGTACAACCGACTTCAATATTATATAAAATGAGAACACCATCAGTGTAGTCAAAGTCAATTTAATACACATTTTTAAGGACTACTCAAAAACTACTGATCATATCTTGTCTAATACATATGTCTAATCAAATTTATATGGGACCACATGAGAAGTACAAGCTTTCAAATGAAAAATCGGTTCACCTAGAAAAAAGTTATGAGGTAACACATAAAAAATACAGTCGAAATGAGAACCTCTTCCTTTTTTGAAGTAGGTTGGTTATAATTATTAAAAGTTTTTGAAATTAAATAATTATTTGGTAAGAATTTGACAGAAATACTGTAATTTTTTTTTAATTTTATGATTTTTTTGTTTCCAGCCAGTGCTTGATCACAATCCCACCTGCTAGTAAATGTTTTTTTTTAGAGGCAAACGATTATACAGCTCACCTGATGGTAATGGTTACCGTTACCCATTAACATCTGCAACACCAGAGGAATTGCAGGGCCCTAAGTCGTATCGGTCCGAAAAACCACTGACGATAGTGTGGTACATTCCACAGTGTGGTCGTGCGAGGCAGAAAGTACCGCGTAAATCGCCTAGTAGTGGCCCGCCAGCCATTGAGACGATGAGCATAGCATTTCAAGTGCTTTCGCAATGTACGATGGTGGAATTCAGCAGCTGGAATTAATCCGATTAATTCCTCTGAGCGCTCCCCGTGATATATGCGGTAGAAGATGAATAGAGATGCAACGTCTCTTCGCAAACCCAGTGGATCAAGCCGATCCAAAAAAACTTGATAGTCGATGATTCCGTTCAATACGGTCAAGTGGAAGGAGCTGATACAGATGTGCCCCGGGCCAGAGATGAGAACAGTATTCCATATATGGCCAAATCTGCGCACTACGACTCTCTTCCATGACGTCTAAAGAGTAAAAGAACCGGAAAAGACGCGTTAAAACCGGTACCAACTCTGGAGCACACGTCTTCAGCACAATTGAGGGGATTCCATCAGGTGTCTATCAGACAGGATACACCACACGACTTGTTGACGTCCAGGGACAGGAGTGCTTTGCGGTCCGAGCGCTGTGTAAACCGGATGCCCGTCATGGAGCACTCACACCGCGGGATGATCGGCGGTGTACCCCCGTCGAAGAGAGTCGAGTTGGACGCAAAAAGAGAACTTAAAAGATCGGCTTTCTCTTTTGCGGCGTGGGCCAGCAAGTATAATACTCCCTACGCAAAGATGGTGATGATGGCTTACAGAAATTCCTTTGGGTAGCCTTGACGAGGGTCCAGAATACACAAGTTCCCGAAGGAAAGTGAACTAGTTTATCGCCAACTCTCCCAATGTGCTAGGATTTTGCATTAGCGATAACTCTTTTGAAGGACCTGTAGGTAGAGTTCTACTTTTTTTGAGTGCGCTAGTGTTTCTATTTTAGGACGCTAATGCGTCAGCCCAGACCTTGTAACACTTTTGCTTTTGCTGCGACTTAATTTTGCAGGAGCGTCCAAACCAACGCTGGGATCTGCTACTGGCTTGCCGGCGTTGACGGGAAAAAAGTTGCATCCCATGAAGCATTGTATCGGCGGCAGACTCAGCAACGATTTTGGGATCATCCAGCGAGAAGCAAATCCGCCCCCATAGGTGGGATGCAAATAAAACCAGCACCCCATCCCAATTAGCTGACTTCTAGTGCCACACACGGCAGCCACAAACACATTGCGCCTGCAATGAGCATGTTATTGGCACCATACTCTGGATAAGGCAGTGATCTGAAGAGCCAAGAGGAACATCGACGGAAACCTGGCAGCCGTCCGTATTAGAGGTCAGTAGAAGGTCAAACAGGGAAGGTGTATGATCTTCTACATTTGGAATCCGCGTAGGCAAAGTGACCAGCTATGTCAGACCATATACCAAGGCAAATGAAATGAAAATTATCTTTATTTCTATACTAACAAAACTTAACAAAAATATGATATATTGTATTGTAATATTTTTACGGTGGACTGGAGCCTGAACTAGGATATCTCTGTATTTCAGGACTTCAGGTCGCTCGCTCGGTCCTGTATGAAATAAATGCCAGAAAAATATTTTAAGATTCGACAGATGACGATATAATCATTAACACCCGACATAAAATATGTCAAAGTTAGAAGACTTGTAAGGCAAGTCCTACTAGGAGCCCACGGGAGAGAACTACATGGTCTGGATATCCAGCAGAGCACTTTTGCGAGCTGATGGTGATTAAGAAAAAGATACAAGGTTTGATCTACTAGTAATATTTGTATAATATAACTAGTAGATCTAACTATTATTTATGAACAAAAAATACAATATTATTTAAATTGTGACAGAAGCCGTAAGGGGATTGTGGGACTGTTAATAATTTTTTTGTTTATTTTTTTCTACCTCTGTCTTTACAGGCGTACCTAATACGACATTGAATACGACACCTTATTATTAAGATAAAAGAAAATCAATGAATAAGTCACCGTAATAACGTACACTCGTAAAATGAAATTATAATAATCGAATGGGAGTACTCGATGGCATTAATCGGTTAGAATATGCCTAATATTAATAATTTGCAGATAGTCATATATGTATAGGTAAATAATACGATAAGAAAATCAGAACCCATAAACAGAAGATAACATGTATTAAGTATTTTCACTAAGTAAGTTCTAAGTAAATAGGGTCATTAAAACTTCTCAGCAGACCGCACTGTCAACAAGTGGATTTAAGACAGATTTATTTTTATATATGAAGTAGTCTTTTGTCACATTCTTCTTTCTTACAGAGCAAAATATAAAACTTTGATATCAATATACTCTTATATCGAAATAATGGTAGTATTATTACATTTTTTTCTTAATTTGCGGATGATCTAATTAAAAAATTGTCAAAATACTTTAAAAATATATCAAAAAAAAATTATCACAGACTACTTACAGATAAAAGGTTATACTGTTCCTCTTTTGCAACAGCTATGGCAGCAAATATAACCATTATGATGAATATTACAATAAATACTCCCACCAACGGCCAAAGAGTTAGTGCTTGTCCCCACGTTGCACGAAGTAAGGCTCGTAACCACCAACCCGTAACACCCAAAAGCACAAATGGTGTCAACCACCAGGTGATTATCCAAAAACTTGGTAGTCTAGCACCAGTGACGAATTGTACATCAACAGTGAGGTAGAACCAACCTGAGAAATAACAAATTCGGTAGAATTTACAAAGTAGTAAAGTTGATTTTCTGTTCAATACAACATAGCAAGAGTGCATCCATTGCTATGTTCCGATTTAAAAGGTGCCAACATAATTATAAACTGTGAGGTCTTATATTTTGATCGTCCAGAGTGACACCACATCATAATCTTAGGTTTTTATTTTTTTCAGCAGTTAGTGGTCTATAGAAACCACTTACCATAAGTTGGACTGATACATCCTTTATCATTCATTTTATATAAAAAAGGTGGTAATGAAATGTCTATGACTGCATACATTCATGACGATATACGTCACGTGGTCAATTTTTTGTGTTAAACTACTGATTGTAGGCCATGTGACAGCCCATTATGGCTGCAGCGCTAGTGGGTGGGCCACGCGCGCACAGAATTAAGAATTAAGTAGCATTAATAGCGTAAAAAACTTTTGCGTTTCTCATTGCTGCTGCGTATCTGATTAATGACGAAAACTGGAGACCCTTTTACTGATTAACAATAATGGTATTGAGTTCTTATCAATCCACCTAATTCTTTATAGGCAAATAAAGAGACTTGAACGGGCGCCAAGTTCCATAGCGGTTCCGAGAGCGTTGCAAGAGGCAAGCCTATGGATCCTAAGATTTCAGCAACTGCTGTGGAGCTTGATATCCGTTCAGATCTCAACTGCCTTATCCCCGAAGTCGACAACCCCGAAATCGTTTGGGTCCTTTTGCATTTATGTTTATGATAGGATGGATTTCTTTTATACTGTTGAGACGTTTCATTTTGTAATAAGAGGTCATAAAAATACGTAGCGGCCTGCAGTTTCGTACATGCAAATTAATGCATATGATAAAACAATAATTTCATTATCGTCAACATTACACTGAACATTCCCTCAGCATTCCCCAAGAAGTAGACATGAACACGGTCTTGAGTCACCTGCATTCATCGAAGCTTAAACGAATTATAGCCCCCCCCCCCACTCCACTTGAAAGATGACCTGACAATAGATGCAGGAAACAAAAATTTCCTGGTAAGTAAAAATTATTGCAGACCCACCGATTTGTCAATACAGACATGATTTTAATTGATTCACTTATACTCGAAATTGCCTCTAATGATCCAGAGATAGTTTTGATAATAGAATAATTACACACAGAGAACATCATAATAAAGAAATAGCGTATCTATTAATCATTAAATAAGATAACTACCACATGTCGTCCTATGGGTGTCGTTAGAGGAGACTGGGAAATACCTGAAAGATGTCATGGCTTCCGATAGTTGGCAATACAACCATCTTGTTTATGACAGATGTAAAATACAAAAAGGCGCTGCGGTAAGCAGCATCATTAGTGTAATACATCTGATACAGTAATTACCAATCCGTTTGCCATACGTGACAAATAAAACGAATCCTCCTTACAATCGAAAGGACCCATGTTCGGCAATGAACTTAAGCGTTCTGGTGTGAGAAAGTAAGCTACTATTTATTGCTATTTAGATCTGTCAACAGCTCAAGCATTTAGTGTTAAATCGAGTGTAACAAAATGAAAAAGGTATTTAGGTACCGTAAATAAAAACGAAACCAACAACTTCCACTGCTGCCGTAAATACAGCAAGTACTGGTACTACCAGTTCGTCCACCAATGACACGATGTTTAGACCACCGACTAGAAAGGCCACCGTCAGCACTGTTCCAATAGCAGACAACGCTGATGCATACAGTCTCCACTGATCGCCCGTTAGACGATGGAGCTTATCGTATACAGGGAACAACAATGTTAGCTGGAAACAGATAATATAATGCATAGGATATGATATTATTCTTAATTGAACTTATTCATATGTTATATTTGTAGATATTGTATGCAGTATATCTTTATACGTAGGCATTTCTGGTCTATCGATTTTGGTTTTAAATAAGTAGATTTGTATACGTAACATTCAGGCAGTGATAATGAGGAATATCAGAGATCCTGGGATATTAATATAAATATTTCATCAGAAATGGTTGATTTTATCAGAATGCCGGAGATCCGGGGTTTGAATTCTTGGAAATATTCAAATTATTGCATATCCAGTATTTTTACTTGTATTGCATGCATGAAGTAATATAAGAAGTATACTAATATCCTTAGACCTAAATCAGACAATTAATTATTAATTATTAATCTTTTATTTTCCTTAACTAATAATTGTATTAATATTTGCGTTTTGATAGGCCACACACACACACCCACACATGTAGTGATAGTATACCTAGATAAAAATAATGCATTAAGAAAAAATATAGTATAAGTAACGTGTATATATATTTATAAAATATGAGATCTGACACGAGTAACCCATAAGAAGAGGATACTTGATATGTATTTAGGCTCCTATCTGTTGTTATCCATATTGGCCGTTGGTATGTAGAACAAGACACTGAAAGATGATCTCTTTTAAACTTATTATAAGCCAGTCTTGACCACAATCGCACTTAATGTAAACATGGTATATATACCTATTGGTGATAGATATAATGTAGCGAATAATCAATATATATTGGAAAGTTTAATCATTAAAGACCTCAGTAGTATTATTTTATTCCTTAACTCGTCCGCTCATCGCATGACACTCTACCAGTGCGTTTGCGTCGGGTATCGTAGCACCATATTTGTTATCCACGTGTCGCATTTAAAAGTAGATCATTTCATTCATCATGGAAGATCAGTAAGCTTTTTTTATTTGAACTATACGGGACAAGAATTACGAAATAATAACCTTACTTTACATTTCAACGTAATCAAACAAAATAAAGAAATTTTCGTCCTGAAACTTAGTTGCTTTTACAAAATATACAAATAGCAGAATACAAGTGAAGACAAGTAGTAAAATCATATATTGAAGGCCGCATTGGGAATTACCTATGTCCTACCAGATGTAAATCATGTGACCTTGCTTTTATCACTAAAAGTTTGGATAAAGACACTCAAAATTCTAGAAGAAGATAAGCAGTCAAAGGAGGAAGCAATCATCACAGAGTGGATAAAATAACATCGACCACATGGAATTGATTGAAAAATCCTCTCGTCTGGACTCGTCGCTTTGGTAATCACAAACACACACATAATATATCTATTGTCGATCGATTACTAACGATAGGATATGAAATGGCATTTTGTCTCAATATTCGAAAATTAATTAATAAGATGATGATGAAAAAACTAATAAGAATAACTAAAATTTCAAACATTATAAAATGTGCTTAAGAACTTCAATTACGTCATCAAAAAAATCTATAATGCTACGGTCGGATGCGTAACCAACCGAATTGTTTTTACTCAATGCTCTCAAATTTAAATTGAGCAACTTCGGTTAAACATAATAATTTTGTAATAAGTAAATATAAAACTTCAAATAGAGATTGTTTTGTCATTGCACTTTGGTAATACGATGATGTGAATCTGGTCGAATATGAGTACAGCAATGATTTTGAAATGATGAAAATTGAAAGCTATCAACCGCGTCAGAGATATACTCGTGATCTAATAGTGGAGTGCCACGGGAGGGTACCTTGACAAACAGGTACTTGTTCTTACATAAACTTGCTCGATGCAACGCTACAACAAGTGGATTTTGTAAATGATGTTAATGATAAAAATGACACAAGTAATAGCTCCAGCTGGGAATTCAAAATCCACAATTTATTGACAGCTGACGAGGAAATCATCAGAGAGTAAGAATTTAACTTAAAAATGGTGACGGATATGAAACATAAAAGAAATCTGTGCCAAATTGCTATAGTATTGTTGGAAGAAAAAGAAGAAGAAATAATTACAAAAATATTTTCTTTGGTATAGGCTGAATTAATTTTCTTGACATGCGAAAAATGAGCAAAAGTCAAATTGCAATTATACGTGTTCGTTTAACACATTCTAGATGATGAGTAAAAATATGGTGAGGAAGCCAGCATTACCTAAGAGAAAATATATTTCGATGACATGTAAAGTCTCTTTTCTGTCATAAAAACTTTATCCGAAATGTATTCTACAGCGTGATGTAGGCAATTGATTCAAATATATCTATATCATAGTATATTAAATATGAACGTCGAAGCAAGATCGACAATACATTAAATAAATTGAACTCACCACACTAATTACGCCAGACAGCAGAACTAAAGCAAATGCCAGTAACGGCCATTCTTTCGCTCGCTTCTCCGATACCGACGACTCATAAATTAGAACTAGTATTGTTACAAAACCTGTGTCTTTTTTGTTATTTCCACTGATCAACTCCCAAAAGAATACCCAAAACCATCCTGATAATATGTTTGTGATCATAACAAACGTCGACACCCTGCAATAAAATGAAATGCTTTGAAGAGAAACTATTTTTATCTCAGGTTTGTTTATTTAAAAAATATCTTTCTTTTTTAGCCAAATTCGAAAATGGAAGAGGTTTACAATTCGACTACGTGTTTGCTTTGTTTGTATGTAATGCAATATCTTGGTCAACTGTGAACCTGATTTGATGACTAAGTATTTTTTGAATACTTCAGGGAAATAATGATTATTTTTGCGAACACTACATATTTAATATTTACAAAACTACTTTTGCGGATTTCACCGTGTTTAATTTTAATTATTTTTAATCCCGGTGTTTTAAAGCACTTATGGCCCGAAATGTCGGGAATTGAAAAAAAAAAGATAATTTAAACGCGATAAAATCCATGAAATAATTTTATTCAACAAAAATTAACTTTTGAAGTATTTCAATTTACGAACTAAAAATGAATGAAATAATTTCGGAAATTGAATTCAGTGTTTGTTCAACAAATCACGTTTTAGCCTTGACTTTAAAAAGTGAAATTATTATTAATAACTTTTTAGATTTTTGACAATAATAATATAACCACAATAATTCTTTGGGGTGGGATTTTATTTTAATTAAATGCAATTTTTTTTACAATTTTGTTAATTTTGTCACATCTGTTGGGGCTAAATAAAATTTAATTAATATTAATAAAAAAAAATCTCCGTGTAATAGATGCTGCAATAAACAGCGTCCTACGTGACAAAACCACCTATTAATATATATATTTTTTAAGTTCTTTCTAATTATTCAAATTCTTCGCATTCAATTCACAATGTTTAAATATTAAAATATTTAAATGAATGACATTATTTAAATATGTAATATCAAATTTTACGTGGTAGAGCCATGCTGCAGCTATATTAATAGTATAGTTATAGCACGAATGGGTCGGCTCAACTGGGGAAGGACCACGCTCTGACAGAATACCAACATAGCGACTCGATGCTGCTGTGTTTCGTATGTTGAGTGTAGAGAACCGGAGACCTATTTTACTGGAAAAGAGGCATTCTATCTTGGTCCTCACGGCTGACAGCGCATCTGCATTTTAATTCGCAAACGAAGATAGATGTAAATTTCTATGGGTCACAGCAACCACTTACCATCAGGTGGACTGTGTGCTCGTTTGTCACACTTATTCTATAAAAAAATAAGTGAGTTCTAAAACATACCATCGCACATCCGAAAACGAATAAACCGTTCCACCTGCACTTATTAAATACCCGCTAGCAATTTGCGTTGATAGCAATGCTTGAACCAACGCACTGTGCCAAATGTAAGGCTCAGACAGAGGTATCCAATTCTCGTAGTATTCCAGTATCGAATAAATAATCGTATTATCCGACAGAAATGTAACAAGTATCGCAGCAATAATCACAACTAAAGGGCAAAATGTAAGCAATGATATCGTTAGTGATTTTCTTTGTCTGTATAACCTGTAAAGGAAAGCATTTTCTTTAAAAATATCCCATAAATATTTCTGAAAGATATACTAGATGATAATCTTTATACTATCCATTTTTTTTTACTTTAAAGTGTCTATTTATAATAGTTCTAGTTTTAAGGTTATATAAGGTTTCTTTTCGATGGATACAGGTGGCTCAGGACCGTGCTTTGTTGCATTCCTTAGGGGAGGCCTATGTTTAGTTGTTTCAGAGTTGTGAAGGGTTGTAATAATGATTATGATGATGATGATGAAGGTTTCTATTTATTATCGTCATATTTATTTACATTGTAACAAAGTATTGGTCTTAATAGTTTCTAAGGTTATATACAATTTTCTATCATCACTGTTAGAGTTATAGAGGAGAATGTGAGTTCACAACGCTTCGTCAATACGAATAACATGGAAATAAGTTTAAAGTTATTACAACTATAGGAATCACTCTCGAACTTTGAATGGGTTTTACAGGCATACTTTCACATGAACACCTATAAGCTGAGCAAATAATTATAGGCCACACTTTACCCACGCGGAAAATATACCGAGCGCTGCAGCCAGTACTTAACCACTTCGTAACAAAGTCGTAAAAATTTAAATTATAGAGACATACAAATTTCATTAACATGTTTATCCTCAAACTTTTATCTCTTTGCCGCATAGTATTCAAGAAAATTGGAATTCTTGAATACGCTCTTTAATGTAGTAGTTATTTTCAAGACCATTACAACTCGTGTACACCGCTTACTTCCCTTCTCAATAACTTTTATCACATCATACTTTATTGAGAAACTTAGTAAAATAATTATGGTAATAAAACGAAAAGTTAATTAACACTGTTAATTTCATTGTGACAAAGTACAGACCAATTAATACTTACATAATGGGCACAAAGAACCATAAAACGAATATTAAAATCGCCATTACGCCGAGATACTGTGGATGTTCCGTAAATGGCGCCAAAAATGTTGAACTGAAATTGTTAAAACAATTTGAAATAGAATTATTTCCTTAAATAAGTTATTATAAGCCGACATAATAGTGGTAAATCACTTTAACTTTATGAAAATTTACATAGTCGATTAAGTTTCTCGATTGTTACATAGTTTTCATAAATGGAATGAATAGATACACTGTGAACCGTAAACAAAACCTTGCAGTTACAGTACTAGTCACTTATTAAAATACTTTAGATTTTCACTTTGAATTAAGAGTTTTATAAGAACAATAGAATTTCTTAACATGATATATATTATATGTTATAAGTTATAACATATAATTCATTTGAGAGTTTTTTATCTAGTTCATTTAGTAAATAAATTTGTAATGTAATACTTACCTAAAGCATTGCGACGCGTTCATTTTATTTTCATAGCCAAACTGAAAAATAAATAATAGCAATCAATAGCTGAACTCCTCTTCATGATAGCACAAAGGATAAAAAATAATTTTTGTTATATAATAAGGGTGACAAACGAACACACAATCCACCTGATACTAAGTCGATACTGTGGCCCGTAGACAACTACATTTATCCTGAATTATGAATCAAAATGCCACCCCTAGAACTGAGATTGAATGCCTCGTTTCCAATAAAAAGGTTTTCTGGTTCTCTACGCTCACTAAAAAAAAAACACAGCATCATTAAGCTTCTATTTTACCCTGGTATTCTGTGAGAGCGTAGTCATTCCATGGTCGATCAATTTTAGATTAGGAATCAAAATACAAATGCCTTGTCAGCTTGAGGACTTAGATGCCTCATTTCCAGTAAAAAAGTCTCATGTTCCCTACACTTATACGAAACACTATATTACGTTGGTATTCTGTGAAATCGTGGTCTTTTCCCGATCGGGCCGTCACGTCCGTGCTACAACCATAATATAGCTGCAGCGTGATTCTACCACTTATCTTCACACACAATAATATATAGTTATTTACCACGTATAAATATATAGTTTATTGATCTGTAACGGAAAGTAAAATTTGAAATTTACAGAAAGCAAAAATTTTGGAGTAAAATATGATCGTATTAAAAGCAATTCATTAAGAAGCAATTAATATATAAGTTTTATTTTAGTAATATATTTCATTATATAATGAAGTAATCCTGGTGCATTTTGATTTTAATCAGCTGTGGTCGTGTAACGTCATTTTGTAAATAACCAATATATTCAGCACCCGTAAGTTGCATTATATTTTTTACTAAATTGCGATTAACGACAATAGACCGAAATTCGATGTCAAAAAGTGATATAGTATTTGAAAATTATGTATATATTTTCTAAAAAAGGCAAATAAATAGCTTCTAGCGTTTTTGGGTGTACTAGACTTAGCACTTGTATTTAAAATATTACCGAAAAATTTAATCAACTAAGCGACTAAAGTCTAAAACATATAGTAGTAGTAATACCCGATTGAAATTTAAAGACTTTTTCTAATTGTAATAATTTTATGGACAAATTAACTTGAGTGAAACAAACAATTTTCAATGTATTGCGTCTTTCACCGAACCATAGAATACTATAATACATACACACCACCGAACCTGTAATTGCTTTATTTCATCGTATATTTTTTATCTTATTATAAGCTAGTTTACACTACTTTTTTTGTATTAAATAAAACGTTACACTAGGATTTTCTTCTGTATTGAAGAGGCAGTTAACAAACACAGATTTAACAAGGACAAACACCCATACCCGGATCAATTATTTGTAAGCCATTCAAAAACTTGTTCCGTGCGGGATACGAACCCGTGTCGCTCAGCGTTGGAGCTTATTTCTAAGTCACTGCGCCATGTATCCGTCAATATTATTAAGCCTGTTAAGCTCATCAACAATGTACATTATGTTCATTGAATGTGAACAGTTGATGCTAAAATTTCAATAGAGGGCTGTATTCGTTAACATATTGTAAATTTTCGTGTTAAAATTTTTTAATTCCTTCATGATCCTTAATATGCAAAACTTCTTAGCTTATAATCCTTCAGATACTAAGTACAATTATATTATAGAAAATATTTTAGTAGTCTTTTATTATTGCATTTTTCTTAGGCGGATAGATCAATCATTTAATAATTCAGCAATCATACATCATTATTTTTAAACTAAAATAAAAAATAACAAATAGAATATGTCAGGGCCATTTTAATTATAAATTTTAAACTTATGAAATATGTATATCTGGCAGGTTTATTAAAACTAATACTGCGATTGCTAAACCAACTGTTATTTAAAATATTTTAGCTACTAGAAGCATGCCCTGGTAGCTCAGATGGTTAGCGCTTACTGTAAATTACGACAACCCTGGTGGTAACGCCAGTTAACAATCTAATTTATAAATCTAATAGAATACTTGGTACATAACTTTAACCCCTCCCTTCTCTTCTCCTTTCGATACGCACGCACAGCCGTTGGAGGCGACACAATCGCCACGCGGCAGCAGTTTCAGTTGCAATCGAACATTGTGAGTGCATTCCACTCTCATCCAATTTCTTTGCTCCGTTTGTTTTATGTACCAAATACAGTCCACAAAGCTTTATCGAAGAACTCTAGTTACTGGCGCGTCCACCTGGTACGATCTCCGCCGGCACCAATAAAATTGTTAATTCCAATTTTAAATGCTGATTTAACACGTGCTCGTCGGTGAGGGAAACATCGTGAGGAAACCTGAATGTTTGAGAAATAAGAAAAAAAAAAGAAAAAAATAATGCGAAGATTTTTTTTATAGAAGAGGGGGCAAACGAGCATGCGGCTCACCTGATGGTAAGTGACTACCGCCACCCATGAACAACCGCAACACCAGGGGAATTGCAGATGCGTTGCCGGCCTTTTAGAAAGGTGTAAGCCCTTTTCTTGAAGGTTCCTAAAGATATGTGAAGTATGCCAACACGCATTGGGGAAGCGCGGCGGACACTTCCTTGCCCTAAAACCCTCTCAAATCTCTAAAATAAATGAAATGAGACCTGTGCCCAGCAGTGGGACATATAAACTGTAAATTTTTAGAAGCATAAAACTTTGAATTACTAGATTTTCGCTGGAATTTGTCTAGATCTTTATGTGTAATGGTTGTTAATGGACGCTGGCATCAGACGGAGTCAAACAAGTTTATTTTTTACTTCACAAGCGTGTAAAGGAATATTTTAACAGGCTACGTAGATTAGGACACATATTATGTGTAATTATAAAGTATATTTTAATGCTGATACATTTTTTTTTATAGGATAACATTGGTAATCTACACGCTCATAATTGACAGTAGTTTAATAATTCAGCATTTCTTTCCTATCTGAAATGGAAAAGTAATTAAATAGCTAGAAATCGTAGCTAAAATCTAAAACACGGTGATTTTGACCAAAAATTAAATTTTAGGAGGTCACAGACAGGTACGCTGCACACATTCTAGTAGGATGTAGGACTCGACATAAAACAAGTACAAAAGCAGATAATATTCTAAGGAACTATTCACATTTATACGATAGTGATTATTGTTGGCTTCGAAAATTTTTATTTGTGTCGAGGTAGACCGAGACTAATTTTCGAAGACCATGTCAGCAAATTGCTCGAAGAGGGGAGGGTCAAGAGTACTCGGATACCTAGACGTGCATGTATGAAGAAGATAATGAATCTGAAAGAAGCGAAAGAGGTATGTAAGGATCGTGACACTTGGCGATCTGTTCTCTCTGGCTACCCCGTCAGGGATTGTGCGTGAAGATAAGTAAGTAAGTAAAATTTTTATTTGATGGTTTGCTAGCGCCTATCTCACTCACATGCGTATGTGATTGTTTGCCATCTCACGTTTATAATTATAACTTTAGAAAACTACTTCATTCTGTGTTTAAGGACCGAAGCAATGCCTAAAAAATCTTCCTTCTGAATTCATCTTATACTATGAGAGACAATGATAAATATTTTTCCTCAGCAATTTCAAGGATTTGCCTTAATCATATATGTCCAATCGCTTGGCAGACTGACGATGGCAGTACCATATCTTTCGTACCTATGAAATTGTTCCCTGACTTCTGTCATTATCAGTTGCGTAGAAGACGTATCTTATACCTCCCACAAAATGAAAACGAGTCATCGTTTCTCTTAGGCCGCCAACGTTATTTTCTAATCAGATGCAACGAAAGTTTTATTTTATCGGCCTTTTGGAAAGGACGGTAGTGTTTCTAGCTTTAATCGGATCCGAAATCCGGATAGTCTGAAAAGAAACTTTTGTAATCTGATAACGGTATGGGATTCGACATCCTAAAATTTGGAAGGGACCTATACGTGATAAATCGGATACAAGACTTATTTACAGAGTTGAATATACGAGTATGTTATTGACCACAATTTGGTCAACACAACCGGATTAAGACGACGCTGTACCAGAACACAAACGTAAAATAAGAGTTTAATGCTGTTGCGTTTCGTATGGTGAGTGTTGAGAACTGGAAACCTTTTTACTGGTAAAGAGGCGTTCGCTTAGTCCTCATGGGGTATTTAGATTCTTAATCTAGGATAAATTTAGATATCTGTGAGCCACAGTATCAGGTCACCATTAGGTGGACTGTGAGCTAGATTGTCATCCTCATCAATTTAAAAAAAAAACTTTTGTTTGAGATTATAGAAACGGATTTTAGGAGTTTCGTGCTTACCGGAGTAATTTGAAGTTTAACACAATCTCTTAACGGGAATGTTCCCTTTCCAATCCATATTAAATATGCTAAAGCAAGTGCGGTGTAGATCATTCCGTAGCCGCAGCATAAGTATGATGTCAGTAATTTAAGGTGGCCGACGCCTGAAAACATAAATAAAATTAAAATTCGCAAAATAATCTCTTTAAAAATAATTAATAATTATAAATAAAAAAACTTTCAGAAGTTGAAATAATGTTAATAGCTTCAGACCTAATATCGGTCACGGCGACCAGACTTAACATAAACAAGCCATCTGTATCATCACTTGTATTGTCTGACAGACTGGATGCGCGTAAACACAGGTACACTATCTATTACCTCATTTTCATAGTCCGATGGAACGGAAATCCAACATGACCAGAAACATTAGGTGTATGACCAACAACTTTTCGTGTTTTCAAACACCGTCAACTTCCTGACTTCGTGCTACTAGAATTTCTTAAGGGAAAAATGCAATAACTAATTTTTAATCCCGACCCAGGATTCGAATATGAGACCTCATGATCATCAGTCGCGCTTACGACTACTAGAGTAAACAGGTAGTCAAAACGACTAAATTGTAAAGACTTGTTAATGAAACCGTTCTTAGGATAGCCCGTTACAGTACTTATCAATACAATGCAACCTCGATATAACGAAACTGAAATGAATTAGAAAATATTCCTTATCCCAAGTAATTCGTTATAATGAGTTGTGTAATATAGAGGTTAAATGGGACTACGATTCGTTTTAACAAGGTAAAAAACTTGTTTATTAACATTACGTAAATATGCTAACGTATCTGAATTTGTCAAGACATTATTTACTGTGGAATTAAGTGGGAATAATTAATAGGATACGTTATGACAAGGTTCTAAGTTGAAAATATTCGTTAAATAGATGTAAATAATACCATTTATCTATATTATGCAATTATAGTATATTTGTTATAAAGAGGTTTTTGATAAATGTATTCGTAATGTAGAGGTATACGGTGCATTAGATCTTACGAGTAGTTCTAGGGGATTTCGAAAAATTTGTTAAATCGAGGAATTCGTTATATTGAGGCTTATTATATCAAGGTTACACGTTATAAGACAAGATTAGCAAATAATACAATTTTAAAATTAATGTATAGATTACAGACATTCCATAAAGGAAACGTGTTTTTTATAGAATAGGGTCGACCACAGACCACGAACAACTACTACATCAGGGAAATAGCAGGAGCGTTACCAACCTTTTAAAAGTAAAAAATATTAAATCATTAAACTACTGTCAATTATGTGCGTGTAGGCTAACGATGTAGCAGCATTAAAATAGACTTTATAATTACACATAATAAGAGTCTTTAATCTACGTAGCCTGTTAAAATATTCCTTTACACGCTTGTGAAGCAAAAATTAAACTTGTATTGTCTGACAGACTGTCTGGTGCCTACTTCATTAATATTTAAAGAAACATTAAACAAAATAATCCAGACCACCATATTTTTATAAATCGTTAGTTTGGCAATCGCAGTATTAGTTATAATAAACCTGCCAGAGATAGATATCTCTTAAGATGAAAATTTACCATAAAATGGCCTCTACATATTTTATTCGTTATTTTTTTATTTTAGTTTAAAAATAAAGATGAATGGTTGCTGAATTAATGAATGATTGTTTTATCCGCTGAAGAAAAATACAGTAATAAAACCCTATTAAAATATTTTCTTTAGTATAATTGTACCCAGTATTTGAAGAATTATAGGCTAAGAGGTTTTGCTTTTTATTGATCGTGAAGCAATTAAAATATTTCAATACGAAAAGTAAAAATATCTTAACGAATATAGTCCACTATTGAAATTTAAGAATAAAATGTCCATCGTAACATTCTTTAAGATTGGATGAACGTTGGTTTTTCGTAAACTTTCCCCGCTTTAATACTAATTCCCTCGGCAACCACGAGAAGAGACGTAACGTCTCCTAGCTACGCATTGTACTACAAGAGGAGAAGGTCTTAAGAAAAAGAAACAATGACATTTTTTGCTATTCTTTTCCCGCACATCTTCACCAAGATTGATTCAAAACCTTGATCGATCAAACAATTATAGGAACGAAGTTCCTTATCGGACGATACGGGTTTGGTGGAAGGGAGCTCGGCGACAAAAAGTGTAAGATTTTTTCGTCACTACCCCTTGTGTCATAGTGTATTTTATTTTAAATGACGCTTCATTATAATGGACTTATTATATATATATAATATTATAGATTTATTTATAATCGAGTGTTCCACGACAGTCATGCATGTTTTTTATTTAATGTTAGATCGACGTTCGACCGAATCAATGCCTGATCGTTTGTCGATTAATGACAATTTATTAGTTTATAGAGTGGATTCTCATCAATTACATGTTCTTAAAATTTGTTTCAAAATATAAAGACCACAGGTTTATTACACTAATTACACTCAAATTTAAAATAGCTTGTTATTTTATAACAAAAATATAGCGTGGTAATTAATTCATTATGAAATCTCTGCTTCTGAATAATATTATATACAATATTTTTATTCGGATTTAGACGGATTTCAAATATGATATTCAATTATTTTGTACTTATAAAAGTTAAGGCAATTTACATACAATTGATATTACAAAAAATTATTAATAACTAAATTAGGCGTTCTTGACGTTGATGATATTTCTTTTATAGAATAAGAGTGACAAACAAGCACACAGTCCACCTTATGGTAAGTAGATGCTGTTGCCCATATATATCTACATTTATCATCAATAAGGGTTCAAAATACAGATGCGTTGTCACGCCTGAATTCTAAGGTGAAATTCCTTACTTCCATATCCGGTTCTCTACACTCACCGTACGAAACACATCAGCATTAAGCTGCCATTTTACGCTGGTATTCTGTGAAAGTGTGGTGCTATCCCGGTCGAGCCTAATCATTTCTTATTAAGCTATGGAAAGGTCTTTCCAAGAGGTTTCTCTGCGCGATAGAATCCATAACGAATATATCCGCAGTAGAATCAGAGTAACCGACATAGCTCAACGAATCATTAAGCTAAAACGAAATATGTAGGACGTCGATGGATGCAGTACATAGTTTTGTGGCATTTGGGGGAGGCCTATGTACCGCAGTGAACTTGTAACGATAATTGATAATGAATGATAAGACGGCTTAGGGAAAGCTCCGAAAATTCTTAGAGCCATGCTGCAGCTATATAACGGTTGTAGCACGACTGGGCCGGCTTGACCGGGGAAAGACCACGCTCTCACAGAATAGCAGCGTAATATAGTGTTTCGTATGTGAAGTGTAGATAGGGTAAAAGTTTTTTACTGGATATGAGGCATTCCATTTAAGCCCTCAAGCTGGCAACGCATCTGCATTTTGATTCCTTATCTAGAATAGATGAAGATGCCTATGGACAAAATCATCATCTGAAATGTGTGCTTCTTTGTCTCCTTTGTTCTATAAAAAATAAAAAAGTTTAAAATACAAACCTCTTAGGAAGGGTACCGCTCTCCAAATACCAACAGGGTCTTGTTGACTAAGTTGACCCATCGTTAGTTGTAATAGGGTAATTGGTAAACACAGCACCAAGAGCCAGAACGAATATACCACGAGATACTGGAGGTGTCCATATTTGTAAGCTTCCCGCGGGAGTCGAACCAAGTTGAACAGCGTAAACGATATCGCAATTGTACATACTTGCGTCTTAATAACATCGTACGTCCTTCTCACTGTCTGAAAAAGAAAAGTTTCTCATTGATGTAATTAATCATAATAAATAATAGTAAAAATGTCCTCCAGATCGAACTTCGGTCAAGGTGGCCAGTCTCAACGGAGACCATTTATACGTGGTAGAGCCATGCTGCAGCTATATTAATAGTATAGTTGTAGCACGAATGGGTCGGCTCGACCGGGGAAGGACCACGCTCTCACAGAAAACCAGCTTAAAATAGCAGCTTAACGCTGCTGTGTTTCGTATGGTGAGTGTAGAGAACCGGAAACCCTTTTTACTGGAAAAGAGGCATTCCATCTTAGTCCTCACGGCTGACAACGCATCTGCATTTTAATTCGCTAACGAAAACTGATGTAGATGTCTAAAGGAACCGCAGGAACCACTTACCATCAGGTAGACTGTGTGCTCGTTTGACACGCTCATTCTATAAAAAGAAAGACTAGCCGTCTGCGCAGGACAGAATTACAGTGCCCATGTGTATATGCAAGCACAGGTGCACTCTTTATTTCCTCAATCTCATAGTCCGATGGTACGGTAATTCTCATAGTCCGATGGTACGCGATTTCCGAAGCACGCAGGTTAAACACCGCCAATTTCCTAACTCCGGGCTGCTTACTTAAAACTTTTGAATTTCTGGACAGAAAAACCCAATAATTGATTTGAACTCGGGACCTTATGATCAGCATTCTCGTTTAGGACCACTAGACCAACGAGGCAGTCATTAATCATACAAAGGGTTGAAAGGGGGATTATGCTAACTTTTTCTTCAATGTCAACATCCTAAATGATAGACGAGGTTTGCGTGGCTGATTAATGGTGGGAAATTCATCAAGTAAACTTTAAATCTAAAGTTTACAGATTGCTGATCTTGAAAAGTATAACCAGTCGGCAGTGTAATCTTTGAATAACATTTGTCCAGCAGATAACTTTACAAGCAGTAAAATTAAAATTTTTGTACAACCCACTACATTATAAATTATTAAGGATAACTCAAAAACTACAGGTAACAGGACCAGATGAGAAGCACCAGCTTTCGAATAAAAAAATAATTATTAAAATTGGTTCACCTAGAAAAAGTTATAAGGATATCGAATTGAATGATTCCTTTTTTGAAGTCGGTTAAAAAAGCCTATAGATGTAATGCGTACTAAATATGTAGTTACAGCTTAAAATCGTTCCACTACAGACCTAAGCATAAGTCTTTTTATTTTTTCAAGTTGTTAATGGAGCAAAGTAGGGTTTGTCGTGCAACCAAAACGTATTTTTCGACGGTAAACTCAAGGTAAATCAGAACTATAAAACAAAAAGTTTTACTGATATGTAAGAATGTTTCAGACATTAAGTCCGCCTGTGCCTAATTTTATAAGTATAAAGTTAAATAATATAATAAATAACTGCTTATATAAAAAATAACAGTTGGATTGGTATCTAAAAATCTTAACATACTCATATAATATGAAGTACGAAGTGAGAACTCGCAAATAAAATATTATTACAAAGTAAGGTTTAGGTTAATCCTAAAATTCGAATATAATATTATATAAGTTTTATTTCCAATATTATATACAATACAATAGTCCTACTTCTCGTGGTATCGTGTCAAGAACGCTGGCTGCGTTCTTCGCTAAATGGCTATACCCAGTCTTTGAGCGAGAAAACAACCAGCCCACTAACGACCAGTCGCGGATGAAGTTCTTTTAGCGACTTCACCGCGCATGGACCCCACGGACCGATAGTCTCTACAGCATATACCACAAATATGTAGGCATCTCTCAGAGACACATATTTACAGTTCAGCTACCTCTGATGCCGCGCCGGCTCTAAACGACCCCTGAGACGAGAGCCCGTAAAGTGTCTATACAAGTAGCATCCCGCACTAACTTACTCGCTACTACTTACGCACTACTTTACCTCTTTCTTAAGGGACCAATTTCATACCGTCGGGTCTATTGCCATCGACTCTAAATACACCACAAGGCTCTACAACCGAGGGAACATTTATAGAAACAACAGCCTTTCGGATTACATCGTTCTAAGAACCGTGCCGTGAAAACCTACCAGCATTTTTCTTACATGAAAGTTATATTCGAACTAAATCATTTATCCATAATAATGTCAATCAAGCGGAACCAACAAGCAAGAGTTTAAACCCAACAAAGGATAGCTCCTTTAACAAATGCAGTTACAGGACCGGGAACTTTCTCGGAAGAATCCAAAATTCACATGTGTACACCACTGGGTACTCAAAACTCGGTCTTTCGTGCTGAATGTTGTGCTGAATCAGAATACCGACCATGGCTCTTAGTTGCAATGTGATCAACTTGGGGCTAATATATGAATGCCATCAACGAGTAAATAAGATATACTCGTAAATGCAACAATATCGCTGTACAATGGATTAGGGGACACAGTGGATCCAGGGAAAACCATGCAGCAGAGTAACTGGCCGGGGAAGATCGGCTCTAGTCGCCATATGGCCAGAACTGATCATACCAATTCCCTTTAGAAACTAGTACGTAAGCCCTGTACTATTCAAAACGCTTAGTTTTGAAAAAATCTAGAAGACTGTATGGAAGCTAGGTAGGCCCTGCCAGCAATAAATAGTCATTTAACCAAGGATAAGACCAAAGGATTACTGAACTTCTTCGGGATTTCATGACTCAAATAAACATTATTACAGTTGCGGAAAACAGCACTTGTAAATTAAACTAAACTAATCTATGAATCATTTTCTCACAGCATTTAATTTTATTCATGATTTTCGAACACAAAATAATAATTTTGTTTTTTTTTTCCAATGTGTTAATTCTAAGTAGGTACATAAATTTATTCTCACGAATTTCAAAAAGACAAAAGCAATTTTTAACAAACAAATAACAAATGCCAATATTAACGTTTCTTTGTAGTGGATGAGAACAATGAACGAGTCTGTCAGAGACTGATGCTATCATTATACACAAAAAAGAGGTAAACCAATTTCAATGAATTAGTTTTGTATTCATGATATTCGTGATGAGTATTTCCACGTACATTAATTATGTAACAACACTTAATAATCGATGGGTAAGAAAGGTTCTCGTGTGGAAGTCTCGTACTGGAAAACGCAGTTTTGGGCACTAATCTACTTAAAGAGTGAAGACCTGATGAAACAGGTAAGTTGATACAGGTGCCTTCGGACCATAGTTTGTGACAATCTATGGAGGCCTATGTTTAGCATTCGAATTTTGAAATGGATAAATTGATAAACTCTCACACCTGGTTACACAGAAGGTTAGGCAGAGACAATGGACTTCCATTTGGCAAGATCCTGACACAACTGTTTTGCTTCTCTCATATCCTTATACCTTCACATACATGCTCATCAGTTAAGGACACTCTTAATTTGGTCTATATTTAATATACCTACAAACTGGTATATAAACTTCCTTCTAGGGGCTCCCTTGCCAACTCTGCCAAGCTTTAATTTCTGCAGAATAAATCTACTTTTTTATTCATTATTTCTAACACACTGAAGCATTTCTTTCTCAATACTTGTCACAACATCTTGTAAAGAACACTTTTTCTTAACACATAATTTCTCATCCTATCATTCCAAATATCAGCAGTATACCAATACTTATGACTTTTATAGATTGTAATGGATAGATGGATGGACTGAACATAGGCCTCCTGATGTGTTGTAAATACAAAATAAATATTCTCCTTGCTTTCTTTCATAAAAAGTTCCCATATTATGGGATTGTACAAATTCCAATATGATGGGTAATCAAGCATAATTTGTATGAAACTAGTGTACAAATACTTAGAGGCAATACCTGTTTTGTAAACTTACATGTTATTGAATGGTTCTGTTTAGTCATTGAGTGATGAGACAATTGAAGGAGTCTATGCAAAGCATTTATATTGTATAGGTATAGGATAGGGTGTTCCTCTATTTTCTGTTTCGTTACTTCGATTTATTTTTGTGATGTTTCAAGATTTATTTAAGGTTGCATTTCATGGTCTATCGTTGAGATCGTATCTTGATTTACTATTTAATAAAGTTTATTAAACCGTCTTAAGATTCGAAAGATCAGTCTTGCAATAAATGGCAGTAACTGAGACTATTTAAAATTTAGGTCCATATAAAATCACAGCGTTAAAGAAGTAAAATATTCCGCTCCTGTGGTTGCCAATTCACCTACTGAGCTTGCGATCACGGCATTTCTCTCTCTATCTCTATTTTTATTGTAAGAGAGGCACTTGTCCACAAATGCACTGGATACAAGGTGATGGTTAAAAATGTGGACTTACTAAATAGATGTTAACTGCCGGTTAAATATTTGTGCAAAAAGATAAGAATACCAGCACTGGGCTAGAGCGCTACGGATCGCGGACTCAAATTCGGGAGAAGTTCGAACGGAACAAGAAAAAGTTAAACCTATAAATAACTGTTCCGAGTGTTGGTCTTTGTTCATGTTCAATGTATGTATGTGAAACCCCTTAACGATAAAAGAGAAATTGTTCGTTTGCAAGAAGCTATTGTATTTTATTTAGGTAGTTTTAGTAACTGGCAGGAGATATTGTATGAGGCCAATCTATATGGGAGGCAGTACCTGTCTTTTTAGCTGTGGAATTTAATAGGTCGTAACAATGATGATGTTGATGCTGATAATTTCAATTTTATAATACTTTATAAGCATCTGGTTCGACTCTGCAGGTGAGTATTTTTTTCTTAGGATAGGGTAACAAAGGAGTACACAGTCCACCTGATGGTAAGTGGTTGCTGTGACCACAAGACATTTACATTTATCCCCAATAAAGAATCAAAATGCGTCATCACCCGTGAGGACTAAGGTGGAATGCCTCTTTTCCTGTAAAATGGGTCTCCGGTTCTCTACACTAACCATACGAAACACAGCAGTGTCAAGCTGCTATTTTACGCTGGGATTCTGTGAGAGCGTGGTCCTTCCCCGGTCGAGCCGACCCATTCGTGCTACAACTATACTACTAATATAGCTGC